GAGAGAGAGAGAGAGAGAGAGAGAGAGAGAGTTGGGGGAGGGATGTGTGTGTAAAAATTCCTTCAACGTTATTAAAAAGAGTTTTAGATAATCACGTCTGCCGCATCAGTCTTTTGAGAGTCTCCCAGTTTGCTATGGATGCTGCTGCCATTGCTGCTGCTACTGCTGCCGTTGATGTTGTTGCTGTTGTTGCTGTTGTTGTTGTGTTGTTGCGGTTACTTTCATAATAATAATAATATAATTGTACTGATAGTAATGATAACAACAACAACAACAACAACGACAAAAATAATAATAATCATAATCATAATCATAATCATAATCATCTATCTATCTAATATCATTATTTCTTTATTCTGAAATTTGATTAAAACACATTTTTTACCCCCTGACTTATCTTCCCAGGTGTACCCGACGGGGATCTCGAAAGTGTCTCCGACTCCTCCAGCTCCTCTTCCTCATCCTCATCTTCCTCCTCCTCCAACTCCTCATCTCCCACCTCAGACCCTGCTACTGGAGGACTCAACAACGCTACTGTCAAACGCTCAACTGCTGGTGGGTCGTTACAGCAGATGTTTCATGATTACTAGAAGGTTTTTAAAAAAAATGTTTATTTTGAGTAAACGTTTTACGGTACTTGCAACACAAAAAGGTCATATTATTATAAGAGCGGAAGGTAAGAGATGTTGCAAGAGAGTATCAAACACAGAAACAAAGGAGAAGAGATCACGGCGATGGATGTTTGATAGGAAAAAAGGAACAAACCACATCAGAGCACCCGCCAACCACACACAACTAGAAGTTTGTTGAATGTCACGGGAGGTTTTGAAAGTGTGTGTGTGTGTGTGGTTTTTTTTTTAATGTGTGTGTGTGTGTTCGTGTGTGTGTGTGTGTGTGTGTGTGTGTGTGTGCGTGTGTGTGTGTGTGTGTGTGTGTGTGGTTGGCCCTGGAGGCGGAGGGAGAGGGAGAGATGTGCTTGTTTCTTTTTGATGTTGTGTGTGTGTGTGGTAGCCTATCCGTTCGAAATGTTTGGAGCCCCGAGGTGTTTTTTTTTCGCCAGGGCCACCGCCCCCCCCCCCCCCCCGGTAGCGGGTGAGGCAGTCCAACCTCCTTGAATCTTCCCCGAAGAGATGCCACCGTCGGAAAAACGTGGCGGGGCATCTCTGCAGCCAGTGCTCCAAATCTTGGGGTTCCTCGCTGCACAAGGGACAGGTTGGGTCCGATGTTTTGTCTATTCTATTTTTGTAGGCCCGCCGCCCAAAGAACTGACCGGTCCTGATGTTTGCCAGTAATGACTGGTCACTGCGGGGCATAATAAGAGCCTCTCGTTTTAAGGAAAATGCCCTGTATACTTCCTTCGTCCGCGTGTGGCATATAGGGGAGTCTTTTGTAATGAGTTTATCTGGGTGCACGCACTCTCATAAGTAATTTGGCGGCCTGGACCCGGTAACGCTGATGCCAGTTTGGCATTACTGTTCGCGAGATCGTTGCCGAGGATATCGCAGTTACCAGGGATCCACTGAATAGTGGGTTTTTGTTGTTGTTGATTGAAAACAAACAGTTAATTCACCGTGGTCTTGTGGTGGTTTGAATATATCTACCAGACCTGTGATCGTGACATTGCAGTGTCAGGGGGTTCGGGGGGAGGGAGGGGGGGGGGGGCTCGGGATTGTAATCCTAACCTTTGTGCAGCGTTGTGTCTTTTGTGGGGGGTTTTCGAACGGACACAGAACGTTCCATCAAACAGCCAATACGTGCTCAGGGGGAACGTGGCGGTATTAAAGGGAAAGCTGCCCCGGTTGGTGGAAACAATATTATACAATATTATTTTAGGTGATTTGGCAAGTTATATAGACGTAAGTCCTGTTTTATGGTTGGTCAGCCATCTTGAGCAGCAACCAACAGAAAAACTTGTGTTAGGACAGGGCACTTCTCTGCAGCGAAAGGAAATCGTGCGCCCAGCGTTCATTAGTCGGGAGGAGGGGGGAGAGGGGGGTTAAAGGGTGGGGGGTGGGGGGGCTTAGGGAATGGTGTGTGTGGGGGGGGGGAGGGGTGTTCTGGGAAATGGTGTGCTGATCGGGGGGTTATGAATTAACAAATCGTAGAAACCGAAACTTTGCTAATGAAAGTACAACAAGTGTATATTGACGGTGAAGGTCGCATACCGTTTAAGTCCTGAACATTACTTTTGCAATAAACACAAAAAACACAGTAGAAATGTTTTTTTTTTACCAACGTATTATTGTATTTTCGATGCTGACTATAGGATGCTATTTTTAGATAATTATCTAAGTTTAAAGGGCTAACCATTGTTCAGATTCTATAAAATATAGATATGGATATTATTTTCCCACTTGTCCGGCAGCCGAGAATCACGTGATCTGGGCCGAGCCAATCATGTCGTGTCAGCTGATCCACACCAGGTCTCCCTTCAGTCCGGACATCAGACGGCTTCCTCCTACGTCGGGATCCACGCTGCAGCATGGCGGCCGTGGGAGTCACAGGGGTCATAGGGGTCATTGGGGTAATAGGGGTCGCTGGAGGTCCGGGCTTCCTCTCCACGTGGCTATGGGGTTAGGCTTGGCCCGAGAGCTCAGCCCCACAACAACTACAACAACAACAGAAGCATCAACAACAACAGGAACAGCAGCATCAACAACAGCAGCAACAACAACAGCAACAGGAACAGTTGTAGACGGGTGGACAGGGCAGGCTCTAAGGGTTGAAGGTCGTTTTGAGGAGGGGTCAGGCGGAGGGGGCGAGAGGACATCGGGACATGCGGGCGAAGCCATGGAGACAGGAACAGGTGAGTTTGATTGTGTTGTTGCGTGTGTTCCTTCTTCTTCTTCTTCTTCTTCTTCTTCTTCTTCTTCTTCTTCTTCTTCTTCTTTTTCTTCTTTTTCTCCTCCTCCTCCTTCTTCTTTTTCTTCTTCCTCTTCTTCTTTTTCTCCTCCTCCTCCTTCTTCTTCTTCTTCTTCCTCTTCTTTGGATGTCAGGTCAGGAGCAAACACTGACGACCATGGTACCCCAATCATTCCTGTTGTCATTTTCCTTAAATGTACATGTATCAACTACTTGTAGATGTATTTGTGAGTATTGTCTGCTCCTTCTTTCCCGACACAGATCTTGACCTATCTATCTATCTCACGAACACCCCCCCTCCCCGCTTGTATTCTTTGTATGTTACTTTAATCTAATAAACCCTCTAGTTTTAAGCTTTACTAACACAATGACCTGCCTATGTTGCAAGTGCCGTAAAACTCTTACTAACTCTAAAACGAAAGGATAGATAATCAATACATAATGTATTTGTGATCTTTGTGTCATTTTTTTGTCTCCCCCCTACCCTCCACCCCACCCCACCCCCACCCCAGCAGAACGCACGCTTACAGTGAGATTCAAAACGCCTCTGGAAGAGACAGAAGACAACCTGGAATCGATCTGTCAGCCACAAAGAACATTGTCCTCTCCCAGCACGACCAGCACGACCACCACGTCCACCAGCGCCCACACACAGACCAACCCACCATCCACTCTAACCTCGCTGTTCCCAGATCAGACGCATGGACCCCAGAAACTGAAGAAAACGTCTGAAAATAAATCGACTCGGATACCCAAAGAAACACAGAAGAAGCACGAATTCAAATTGGGTTGCGTTGGTGGGGGTAATGGCGGAGGTGATTGTAAAGGTGGTAGTGAAGGTGGTGGGGAAAGTGATAGTGGGGGTGATGGTTGTGGTGATGGTGCGGGTGATGGTGCGGGTGATGGTAGTGGTAATGGTAGGGATGATGGTAGAGGTCATGGTGGAGGTGATGGTTGTGGTGATGGTGGTCGTAGTGCAGGTACGAGCAGTGATGCGACAGGTCTGTCTACGTGTCAGGAAACAATGCGAGGTCTGAGCACGGCCATGCAGGACCTGAACGAGGCGGCCTTGACTATCCGACAGGCACGCCAGATGCTCTCCTCGTTTGGCCTGTGCCGACAGATAAACAACAACAACCCAGGCTCTGGGGACGGAGAGGGAAGCAGTGGTAATGACGACACACAACGACCTGAGACACTCGAAAATGACGGAAATTCAAGCCCGGGACAAGAGCATCTCCCCCCGACGGGTGCTGACGAGGTACAAGGAGATGCTGCTACCACCAACACTGACACAACCCTTGGAAGTTTTCCGCCTCCGATTTTAGTGAGAAGTGCGGAAAAGAGCTCGAGAAAGGCGTCACCACACGAGAATCTACAGCGTGTGAAAGTTACCAGGCAGGTGAGTTTTTCAAACTCTCCGACTTCCACATGTGAGACGTCCAGGAAAGAACCCCAAAGCTGCGTCAGTACGGCTGTGACGCCCACAGACCACGGCACGTCACCCTCACGGTCTGAAAGAGCTAAGCAACCAAACCAGACGTCAGCAACACAACCTGGACACCGGACTACTCCAAACCCCGCCATGGCCTGGTCAAGTCACATGACCAATCAGGCCCGTGCAGCTTGGCGTGTACAGAACACATCCTTGTGGGAACCTCTGGGAAAACTGATGACATCAGACCCATCACAGAAGACAGCCTCAGAACCTGTTCCGTGTGAGACTTACACATTGGGCTGTGACGTGGTTGGACAAGAAGGACAGCCCGTCTCTGTGGAAATGCCTGAGCAGAATTACGTTCTAGAAAAAGAAGACACACAACGTGATACAAGTTCTTTGTTTGATCAGAATGAAGAAAGTATAACGGCTAACGAGACAAGATTGGGAAACAGAGCAGGGAAGCCAAAGAGTATCGTAACTGTCGATCAGTTGAGGACTGCGCTTCAAACAGCTGTCGAGAAGTTACGGAAGGCCGGGCAGTGGGGGGAAGATCTCACGTCCCCCATCGGTCTCCGGGGCGAGGTCTCGCGCAGTCGAGCAGTGACTGACTTTGGCTCAGGGGACGACCACACGCTGAAGGGTCTCTCTTTACACGAGGGGATCCCACAGCACTTTGACGTCGATATAACCAACAACAAGTTTGATGCCACGTCAGGGGATCGAGCTGTGAATTCTTTAACAGACGTTGCGAGAGAAGTCAAAGAGGCGTCACTCTCTCCACGCGATAAAGATACTTCCGAGGCGAAATCAGAAACCGTACTGATCAGATACCGTGTAGGGGACGTCACTGCAGTAAACGTAGACGGGAACATGGGGAGACAATCCCCACCTGGGGCAGAAATAACCTTCAGTCCACATCCGGGTCACATGAGTTGCCTCGACTCCATGTCGCCTCCAACGACGCCCCAGGAAGGTGGTATAGGACGGACTGTGGACTCGCGGGCCCTGGGAGGGCGGGAAAACCCGAACTCAACACATCAAGGAGCAAACTCGAGGTCGGCTGTGGAAATGATAGCGAAGGAAGAGACACAGGAGAAGGTGCATCACGTGCAAGCGGCGACTGGCTCTTCTTTAGCAGAGTGTCAGGAACAAACAGACAGTCCAGTTGTGCGAGATGCGGGCAATTTGTTAGATCGTAGTACGGTTCACTCTACTGTTCTATCGGAAACTGATAGAGGAATGTTTAAGACCACTGAATTATGTCACAGCACAATAAAAGACCGCGTAGTGACACCAGTTGACGAATACGCAAGAAATGGAAATATGACAACTGGTGACCTTCACATTGTAGATGTATCAACGCCTGAATGTTCAAATCTCCCTTATGTACGGAGGGCAAAGGGTGCTGTAGAAAAGATTCTATGTCATTCTCATTCTGAATACGCACCTATTAGAGGTGGCTGCCGTAAATGTGTTCCAGAAGCCTTGATGTATGGAGAAACAAAAGACTCGGGTTTGGAGAGTCGGTCGTCACTAGAAGTCATAAATTTAGAAAGCGATACTGAACTTGTCGCGGACGAAGTGTTTGAAGACACAGCCGGGACATTGTCTGCCTCCTCTGACACATGTGCCCGGAACTCGGTCACAATGACGTCAGGCTCCGGGGATCCGTCTCTCACGTCTGGTGGCGCGGTTGTTGACCTCGGCCGACCGGCCTCAGAGCCACGCCCCGCGTCAACATTACGCCTCGCCGTGCGTCATCGCAGCGTCTCGGCCAGCACGCTGAGCGACAGAGCCAGGGCCAGCTACCTTATAGAGAAGTTGTCGCGCCTCCAGCGGGAGACAGTGCCGGTTGACGGGGTGTGTCGCTCGGGGCGGCAGACGTCAGCGCTCAGGGCCAGTCGCCGGAAATCTCTGCTGGCCTCCAACATGTCTCTGAGGCCGCCGCCGCCCACCCCTGCCCTGTCGGAGCAGGCTCTGTCCATTGTTCTGGAAGCAAGGCGCGGCTCCATATCACTGCTACGTTCTACTGTAACTGATGGGACCCACAAGGACGTCGATGAGAAGGCCAAGACTGGGCGTATCAGAGATCGGACATCCCATAAGGCTGGACCAGGTCGTGGGTCAGAAGTAAGTCTAGAGGCAGGAGAACCCAGACACCCCGTCACCCCTCCTCTAACGACACGAGCAGTCAAATCTTCACAAGAAGAGGAGGTCCCGAGCCAAGCAGCCGTGGATGGAGAGAAGGAGAAACCGGTGACGGAGGGCTTCCGTGAGCGCTTACGTCGTGTCTTCCGGAGGTGTATACCTTCGTGGAGATAGAAGCACTGCTGGACGAAACGATGGAATGACATTAGAACTGTCAGCATCACTACCACCATCACCACCATTACTTTCAGCACCAGTACCACCGTCTAGGTCAAATCAGTTCCTAACATGGAGTTCAAGTATACTATAACCACTAAATGCACATTGATGCGAATCTACCTAATTATTGTTTATAGGATTTCTTCTTTCCTCTCTATCTAGTGGAGATACCTGTGACTTTGATATTGTAATTTACTTGTTTGTGAGAGTGTTACACACTAATTTTACAGCCACGTTTCCACTCATAATTTCCAAATGGGTAATAAATGACCAGTTTGGAAGAACTGAGTTATTGTTCCCCTGTCATTGTTTACTATGTTGAAAACAATCCCTCAACTTGTGTCACTATACAATTCACACAGCAAAAACTTCTCGTTTATCATTTTTTTGTGGTATAAGCCTCCACTTTATCAAATCGCTTTACTTTGCAGACGAAGACGTGATATGGACACCACAATTAATTTGCTTTTGTGTTCAAAATCATTGCGGACAAAATAGGTGCAACAAATTAGATAGTCTGTTTCGCAAGTAAACATTTTTGAGTTTTATATAGACTAGACACTGTCATTTAATGTGGACTGGTTTGATTTCGAAGCTTCACTGTCGCACACAGAAGGCATGTCGAGTACCTTTGTCTGCCTTCTGGGAAAATGTATCCCCCTTCAACCCTGGTTTGCTATGACAATTTTTTTTTAGACTGGCCGCAACACGCAACATTGGCCTTCAAGTTAATTGTCCTTGATACACATTTGGGGAAATACATCAAAATAGGGAACGTTTTCACTTTCATTGAATTTTCACTTAAAGTTCTGAAACGGTGCTGTATTTATTCTAGCTACATCTTGCAGCTAGCTGAGAATTTCAGCAGCGGTTCACGTCTACTGACCCATTAACTTGATAGAGGTCACATGGCCGATTGTGCCTGCCAACTTGCTAGAAGTTGAAGAGATCCAAACAATTATTGCTCTCTCTCTCTCTCTCTCTCTCTCTCTCTCTCTCTCTCTCTCTCTCTCTCTCTCTCTCTCCCTCATTTTCCCTCTTTCCCTCTCTCTTTCTTTCTCTTTCTGTCTTTCTCACTCAGAGTCTCTATTTCTTTTTCCCTTCCCCCACCCGTTTCCTCTACGTTTACGAGAGAGAGAGAGAGAGAGAGAGAGAGAGAGGGAGAGAGAGAGAGAGAAAGAGAGAGAGAGAGAGAGACAGAGAGAGAGAGAGACAGAAAGAGAGAGTGAGTGAGTGCATGTGGAGGTAAAATATCGGCAGTCACCGAATTAGAAAAACCATAAATGCAACATAAGCCAAGTCAAAGTCAACTCATCTGATATCAGGGGTTATTTATTAATTAGTGAACATCTCGCCATGGGTTACAGAGTGTTGGGTAGAGAGTAGGGGGAAAAGAGACGCAACATATGAGAGGGTACAATCAGAAAAATATTAATGTTGTCAAATAACATGGGACACAACGAATAACAATGGTATTATGACTAATGCAATATTTGATCCATAATATCATCAATACATGAAAAAAACAAACCATACCAAAAAAATTATGTGAAGTCAAGTTATAAAATGTATAACGGACATAGGATCAACAACCCAAAGACATTTTTGTACGCCCGATAAAGGCCACTTCTTCAGCTGTGACCAAAAAAAAATATTAAAAAATCAAACACATTTTTTTGAAGAATGTTGTCATAATGCCTTTTGCTGTGGATTGTCCTTAGAACTTAGCTCTGATGTGATCTGCATCTTCCACGTCTTGTCCGTAGTACTAAATCAGTACTCTCAGTACAAACACCTCATACAAATTATGTACAATCATGACTGGGGTCGGCTGGCGGGACTGGAAGGTCCCATTGGTATATTCCACTTCTTTTCTTTACCTCTGTTATTTTTTGTTTGCATTATTTTTTTCACAGCCCCAAATCTTCGGTATCGAGTCTAACTGCTTCCAATTAACAAAACTCAAAATAAATGGATACATCAGTTTCCCTTGACTTATTTCACATGGCAGAGTAATTTCAAGACAACATTACCTAGCAGTTGCTTTTTTTCGTTTGGCCTCCAGTCTCACAATATTTTGCAAAAGTGTGTACTTATTTATTAACAGGCCGGATTATCGAATATCACGATCACTGTTTACACCCTTAAACTTTTGGTTAACAGGTTCTAGATGGGTGGTTTTCGGGCGCTCTGGTGTGGTCCGCTCTTTCTTTCCTGTGAAACACAAACTAAATTGTCCTGATCTCTCTTCCTTCTTTGCTTTGTGTGTTACTCTCCTGTAATACATCTAATCTTCAGCACTTATAATATGACCTATTTGTGTTGCTAAAACATAGATTCCAACAACCGCTTAACTGAATGGAGACTACAGGGGAAAAACGCCTGTAGTCAAAAACTGAAAATCGTGAGGGTATCAATTTTGAACTATTGCTGACTCATTACTGTATTTCTGTTTACTGTTGGTTGATTACTATAGTTAGATTTCCCATTCAACAACACTTAACAATAAACCCCCAGTCAAACAAATATGAAGTTATGAGTCCACACGCTTTTACAATTGGCACCGTCACAATTTCCAGTTTGTGACTACAGTCGTTTTTCCCCTGAGCTCTTCAAATATTATTATGTCATAATGGAATGTTGGGGTTATCGTTTTGCCACAGCGTCTAAAACACTCGTGGGACCTCCATCTAGGTTATGGCAACCGAGAGAACAGTCAAGAGAACAGTCAAGAGAACAGTCAAGCGAACAGTGGGCACTCACAACAGACTTGGGGCAAACACTTCACGAAGAAATCACTGGCGCAAAATAACAAAGCCGTGTGAGCATGAGCACTTACAACAAAAACAACCTTTTTTCAACATTTAAAATTTTATTTTTGACAAAATATTTCTTGACCACGTGCAAAATACAAAAGAAGAGAAAAAAATAACAATACCACGGAACAGAAAAAATAATAACGATAAAAACGAATATGTTGGATTTGGTTATCTGATCAGCCGACCAACGATTTGTCCCCCTGTTACCCCTTCGTACGACCTAACTTGTTCGTGAATACAGTTAACATCTCTTTCTTTCCAATACGCCCCCCCCCCTTAAAAAAAAAGAGAATAACAGCAACCAAAAAAAAAAAAATAACAGAAATAAATCAGTGATTATAAAAAAACATAACTACAAACAAAATCTAAAGTAGAACATTTTTAAAAATCACATAATTTTTTCTCAAAAGAAAAACAATTCTGTAACAAATAAGCATGTCAACAATTCTCACTCAAAGTCTGACTTAGGAGCACATAGTACCTGCCACGGCTAGATATATCGGAACATGAGGTGGATACAAGGTTACGTCACTACAGCAGAATTACCAAGTTCTATCTGCTCAGTATCTAGTTTTGAGAAATTTGACCTCAAAGATATTGAGTTTGAAATTATTGAAAGCTTTTACGAATGCAATTCTTTGAATATCTTCATAATCACTCCGGATAATCTTTCGATTTAGATAGAGCTGAAATAAGTTTTGGCTTCTGACCTCACGGTCTTAGTTACTCAAAACGACCAAGAATGTCAAATAAAACTTTGTAATTCTGAGGTAGCGACGTGGAAACCAAATTATAGTCAAAACATAAAAGATTGGACTTAAAAATGAACACCATTAGACAAAGTTAACAAATAACAACCCCCCCCCCCAAAAAAAAAACAACCCCCAACCAAACACAAAAACCCCCCACAAAAAACCAAAAAAACCAAACCACACACGTCCCCATAAAAAACACCAAGAAACGAACTGTTGTAAAATCATATCATGTCACGTTTACACTCGTTCTTATTTCAGATGGTATCTCAGTCGGTTTCCTTGTCTGAAGGTCATGGACTAGAGATACACTGAGGGCTTGGTACTTATTATTGAGTTCATTAAATGTCCTACTTATTGTCATGTGTTATTTTTACAGGTTCTTACAGAATACATGGAAAATTCAAAAGTATACCCTCCCTTTCTCTGTCTCTTTCTTCTCTCTCTCTATCTCTCTCACCCTCTCTCTTACTAACTATCTCTCTCTATCTCTGTCTCACTACTCTCTTTCACTTACTCTTTCTTTCCCTCTCTTTCTCTCCCTCATACGCGCACAATCACACACACACACACACACACACACACACACACACACAAACACACACACACAAACACACACACACAAACACACACACACACACAAACACACACACAGACACACACACACACACACACATACACACACACACACACACACACACACACACACACACACAAGCAAGCACTTAAGGACACCGCCGCAAACACAAACACATTTTCGACTCCTCATACTCATACAATGAATGTTTATCCCATTTCCATCCGACTCTCGTCATTTTGTATTTACATTATTCTCTCTCGTGCTCATAAAAGTACTACCCATATCCAAGAAAAGCGTTGCCATTTTGAGGCTGACCGGAAACTGAATGTCGGGTGAAGACGATTGAGTAAAAACAAAATCAAAACAACATAAAATGGAGATCCAGATAACACGAGATTAAGAACCCTCTGTCTCGTGCTTTCTTGAACTTAAGAAACAGGAAACCAGCTCGTGATCTGGAACTTTTGGCAAAATGACTGAAAGATTATGAATGACACACGTCTATGGTAATGTAACGAAGTTATTAAGTTATTTAGGGAAATCAGAACGTGTTATTTACAGTTATTGCACATACAATGCATTAATATTTATAAAGTGGTAGCACTTTTTCGTATGGATACTCCACAATTAATGTCATTCAAGGCATGATTGATAAGGGAACTTTAGAAGGTCAGAACATTTGTTGGTCCTCCACGGAACAGGCATCAGTTTATACACTGGGCCTCACCAACACATGCTATCTAAAAATTTCATCATCATAATAATATAGCTATCTAATTTAAAGGACATCATTTCACAAACATCCGGAATGGAGATGTACATTTATCATCATTACCAATGGCCTTCAACCTTAGCAATGTATAGGCCACAGACTTAGACACACGATTTCCATCCTGTTCCGCATTTTGCAAATGTTCCAAACTGACCAATACGTTATTGTCCTTCTCTACACGACGCTTCTAAGACTCCAAGGTCTTCCCCTGGCTCTTGTTCCGTGAGGATTCTACTTAACTGTTTGCTTGGTCACGTTTTAAAAAAAAAAATTTTTTTATAGCGGTCCCAATCCAGCGCCACCCGCAAAACCTGATTTCGTCTTTCACTCGCACCTGTCTTTTCCCAATTTTCTTCAT